CTTTAATCCAGTCGTTGTTTGCGAGTATATTGTGGCCACACATGCAGTCGTTGAGACGTCTGGTGTGAACACTGGTCTCTTCGTGCGATGAGTTGATGACCGCATAGTAGTGGCCGTTGTTTATATTAGATCCCATTGTGTGCACAACAAACCCATACAATGAGTACTTAATGACACTATCGTTAAGAGTGTAATCGATATTAAGCGGCACTTTGAACACCTTCTTCGGCGGAGGTTTTGCGCTATTTCTGGTCACCTTTAAAGTGAATCCAAAGGGTCTCTTCATGAATAAGATCATCACTTGTGGCGCAACTTTAATGGTATTTACAACCGAAGCGTTTGTTTTCTTGCGACAGTTGTGACAGTTATACATATTGTCATCTTTTAAATAATCCGGTCTATGGATTATATCAGCGAATGACTGCATTTCCACGTCTGTCACCGATTTGTCGTCACTAAGACAGAGAGGTATATGAATGTCGGCGAAAGAGTCGTCAGTGCGGCTACAAGTGTGGCATTCACTGCACTCAATGCTCCTCAGCATCACTCCATTGAATCTCTGAAATGTGTCGGCATTTAAATCGCTTGAATATCGTCGGGTATTGTATGGACTCTTTGAGTTCGAGATGAAACGAGTGTTGGCCTGAGTGTTGGACTGCCTGTTCCCGAACAGTGTTTGCGTATAACTGTTGAGTTCATTGATCAGCCAATCGAGTAACTCGTGACAATCCTGCTGTTGACCGAATGGGAATCGATTTCTAAATTTAAATAATAATAATCAAATTTCACTCATAACTAACAAAAATCAACAAAAATTACTTCAATAGTTGACAATCAATAAATGCAGTAATTGTGGACTCGTTTGTCGCGCCACTACTCTTCGCGTCTTTACATTTCAACTCATTTTCGCTGAATTTATAGTAAATCTATTTATAGTACAAACTATTGTTACAATCTTTCAATAGAGATTTGTGTGAAGACACTCACGTCGTGTAGACACGAAACCAATTGTTTCTCTTCTTCTTCGAGTAAATCTTCATATTTAGGATTTTTAATGGTTTTGTTTAGATAACAAACAAATTGTCGAAATCCAGGTGTTATTCGCAACACTATATCAAGACATGGATTGATATAAGAGTGACAATTGATTCACAACTTGTAATACAGACCCTGAATGAGAGCGTTTATATAACACGTGTTATCGATATTCGGTAAACCAATTACTCGCGAGAGCTCTGAATTGTCACCCAATTTGTTCTCCTTATTCTTCGTGCCATCACTACAACTGGTATTACTACTACGACTACTACTCGAATCCGTCTTTAGTTTTTTGCGACCACTGCTTCTTCTGCCGCGCCTCATAGGCTTCAGGCCATTCACTGTCTCAGTGGTAATACCGTTGCCATCGATGGCATCATTGGTATCAACGGTTCCGTTAACCAGATTCAGTACATTAGCGTTCGTGTGATTAAAACCCATTGATTGGTCTTCGGATCCATAGGTTTTGCTTCCGTAACCATTGATGGCTGTCTGTGAGCCGATCGGCGCCCGAAGTAGTGGTCGGTTCGGAACGTGCGAACACATGATGGGAATGGAAACTCTCGCCTCATAGGCCTTCAATTGTCTCAACTGGGATTCAGTGACCACTGATTTGTCGACTTTCACTCGACAATTGTTTTTGTAAATTGTGTCACAATTTGTCCACATTTTAAGCCATCAATTGATCGCAAAAGTAAACGCAATCAATGAATGCGTTCGAG